CTGAAGCCCAAGAGCCCCGAGGTAAACTTGGGTGGCCTTGAGTCACAGTGCAAGGTAGAGAGGGTTGGGTATGGTGTTGAAAGGGCAGGAAAGGAATCAATGGGGGTGAAAAAGATGATGAAGTAGTGCATCACCAGCATGAAAAATCAGTAATTACTTTTTAGAAATATTTTGAGATATAACTTACATAACAAACTTATACAATTCAGTGGCATCTGGTGCATTCATGAGTTGGTATAACTATCAGATCAATTACATTTTCATCCCCAAAATAAAACCCTGTACCCATCAGCAGTCAGTCATTCCCTATTCCATCCTCCCACTGGCCCCAAGCCCCCACCAGTTCCTGTGGATTTGCCTTTTCTGTCGATTCAAATAAATCGAATCAAATGTGACCTTTGGTATCTGTTTTTTTCACTGAGCATAACAGCTTAAAGGTGTATCTATGCTCCAGTGAGTGTATTTCATTCCTTTTCATTACTGTATAGTATTATATTGTATTATTATACCCATTTGCTTATCCATTCATCAGTTGCTGAACATTTAGGTTGTTTCCCCTACTAAGTTACATTTATTAAGATTTTACTCTGTGCCAGTTATCACCTGGCTAAATTCATCCCATTTTAGATAAGAAGTAGAGTATATTAAGAACTTGCTGAAGATTTAGAGCTATAAAGTAGGAGAGCTAGGATTTGAACTCAGGCATTTAGGCCTCAGAAGTAACAGATTCAGCATAGAACATTAGATAAAGATAGAAAGGGGGAATTTCACCCATTTCCCAATGTTTCAAATATATCCACCTCCCCTCTCCCTTAGAGACACCTACTTTTGCCACTTTGAAAATTAGTCTGGGGAAATTATTTATTTCTATCCCAACTTGATTGTACCATGAGTTATTGAATAATCTGTCCCACTGACTTGAGATATCTTTTTTATAGTATACTAAATTCCCATAAGTATTTGCATTACTGGATTAATAATTAGCCTGGTGTTTTGCCTTTTATAGTCACCATTTCTCTAGAATACTTTTTATCTCCTTTTGATTTTTAAAATGCTTTACTTCTTAAGACGTTACCCATTATGTTCATTCATTTTTCTTTTATCAGCTTATTTCTTATTTATTTATTGTTTTTGAGTTGGGGTTTCACACAGTTGCCAAGGCTGGAAAGCAATGGCACAATAAGGGCTATCCAAAGCCTCAAACTCATGCACTTAATCAAGCCTCCTGCCTCGGCCTCCCTAGTACCTGAGACTACAGGTATGCACCACCAAATCAGGCATTTGTGTGTGTGTGTGTGTGTGTGTGTGTGTGTGTGTGTGTGTTTGATGAGGTCTGGCTATGTTGTCCAGGTTAGTCTCAGTCTCCTGGGTTCAAGCTATCCTCTCCCTTCAACCTCCCAAAGTGCTGGTATTACTGGCATTAGATGCCTTCCCCAGCCTGTTTAATAAAATATCAAAAACACGGTGGCTCACTTTCAAGATTTCCTGACTCTGCTCCCTTTCCTGACTTTCATTCTTTGTGTTTGTTGTTCCTCCTGTTTCTCCTCTGTGATATGCTGCATCCCAGAAAGGAACTCTGGCTTCTCAGGTTCAACAGTGAAGAGGGGCTAGGCTGCTTCAGCCCTTCAGATTCTACTACTGGCCCCTGTAATTACTCACTTTGGGACTGGGCACACCCCTCACCATTTCAGCTGCTGTTCTCAAACTGACTCACTTTACTTTCCAGTGAACACTGGCTGGCACCTTAAAGACCTCCTGGCTGGCCACTCCCTCTTGTGCTGATGGTCATACCTGGCAGGTCTGATGCCTGTTGGTTTGCCCCACCCTCTGTGTTGGGGTTCAGAGGAAGAACTTTGTCCTCTAGTTTGTGGGTAAATGCTATGCAGGTTTTGGTTTCGTTTGAGCTATTTCCATGAGAGGATTTCAAGAGATTCAGAAACTTCACTGCTATGCCTCCATCTTTCTCAAGCCCACCTCAATCTTTGATGTAATTATTTTAAATAGAGAGGCCCTGCTGCTTTCAGTTTCCTGAAGCAGAGCTCCATTTGCCCCAAACTAGTTAAGACTCTGAGGCACACAAGTCTTTTGGAGTCCCACTGTCTACCAAGGGACATCATGTCTGTTCTTGCTTCATCCATGTCTTGAGTGAAAGTTAAAATAGCCAAGAGGGCGTGTGGGTTCGGAGGCATTTGGCCACTATCAGAAGTTGAAGAACCCTGCTGGGCAGATGAAAAATCCAGAGGCAGGCCCTGGTCAGGAAGGTGTATCCTTTCCTTCCCTCTTTTCCTTCTCTTTGTATCTGCTTTTCTAAACATGAACAAAACAATCTCCAATCTGTCCTCCTTCCCCTCACACACACAAAAAACTGGTCCCTGCAGTTTTCTTCATCTCAGTTCACGGATATGCCATATTTCCCCTAACTCAGGCCAGAAAACTTTGAAGTCATAGACTCTTGTCTCTTCCTCCCAACTGCATATCCAAAACATCAGCAAATTCCATTTGCCCTACCTTCAAGTTGCTAGAACTTGTCTCTTCTTCCCAACTGCATATCCAAAACATCAGCAAATTCCATTTTCCCTACCTTCAAGTTGCTAGAACTTGTCTACTTCTAACCATATTCCCCATTTTCATGTTAGTTCAAGCTCTCATCATTTCCTGCCTGGATTATTGAAATATCCTTCTAGCAGTGCAGAGATTCCCAAACTTACTAGACTCATTAATCCCTCCTATCTCCCAGGAGGCCAAAATAAATACTTAATAGTCCCATTCATTAAATAGCTAAGTACCAACAATTTAACAAGTATTTATGTTTGTAGTAGGCTAAATAATGCTCAACCAAAGAGAAAAGGTCCTAACCTCTGGAACTGGTAAATGTTACTATATTTAGAAAATGGGTCTTTGGATGTGATTAAAGATCTTGAGATGAAGAGATTAGTTTTTACTATTAGGGTGAGCCCTGACTGCAACAATATGTGTCCCTATAAAATGAATACAGATGGAAATTTAATACAAACAAAAGGAGTGAAAGGCAATGTGACAACAGAGGCAAAGATTTAAGGGATGCAGTCACAAGCCAAAGAATGCTGGCAGTCACCAGAAGCTGAAAAAGGCAGGACCAAAATCCCCCAAGAGCCTCGAAAGGGAGTATAGCCCTCTCAATGCCTTAATTTTACCCTCGCAATGCTGATCTGGGCTCCAGACTGTGAGAATACATTTCTGTTTGTTTTAAGCATCAATATTGTGATTTGATAGAACAGCAACTGAAAGTAATGCAATGTTCTAACAACTAGGTATCATTTGAAAAATAATATATACAAGCTAACAAAAACTTGGCTTCACTCTTAATGACAATACTTGCTGACGAGATAGATATGCCTCTTAGGCAGTATATGTATCAAACCTTGGAATCAAATTGGACACTGACTGTCTCAATTCCTGTTCCACATTGATTTCCATAAGGAACTTGTTTCTTTTTCTTAAAGCTATTGCCAAAATCCAGCTTCACAAAGACATGGCATCATAGAAAGGAATGGAGCATGACCTGATAATAATAAACTGTGAACTACCTATTAGGTACAAGCTCACACATGACAGCTGTTAAGTATTACTATGACTTCTTCACAAATTTAAAATATCTTGCTATACCCAGTTGAATCTTCAGTGGTATCTTGGGATAATCTTGGCTCACATTTTGATCTGCAGTTCTAACAGTTTTTTCTGCTCCCACTTTTGTTCTTTCAAATTTTTCAACATGGCAGCCATAATGACCCTTTACAAAACATAAGTCAGACCCTGTCACTCTTTGCTCAAACCTTCCATGTCTTCTCATTTCCCTCAGATCCAAAGCCAGTGTCCTTACAATGGCTTACAAGGCCTGCTGTACATTGGGGTCAGCAAACATTTCCTATAAAAAAGCAAACAGTCTTTCTGGGCTAGATTGTCTCCGTCTCAATTATACCACTCTGCAGTTGCAGCATGAAAACAGTCACAGCAAATAGATACACAATGGGCCTAGGTATCTTCCAATAAAACTTTATTCACAAAAATAGGCTGCACCAGTTGCTGACTCTTGCACTGCATGACATCCTGCTATGCTCCCTCTCATATGCTCTACTCCAGTCAAAGTGAGGCCCCTTACTGTCCCTTAATAAAGCAAGTTCCTGAGTCAGGGCCTTTGCTCTTACTATTCTCTGCCTGCCATGCTCTTCTTAACTACTTCAAGTCTTTTCTCAGATCTTATCTTTTCAGTGATGGTCTCCCTCACCACACTATTTGAAATTGCAATGCCTTAGTGTGCTTCTTTCTATCTTCCCTCAATAAAATTCCCTTTACCAGGGCTTATTTGACCCTTAGTACTTTGAACCTCCTAATATGTTGTGTAATCACTTCTTTATTATGATAATTGTTTAAAATGATTAGTGTCAAACTGTATATTCCACTCCCTCACTAACCACTAAACTGTTAGATCCTGGAAAACTTTTGTTTTTGTTCAAAGATACATGTCTAATGCCTTAAGCAGTGTCTGGCATATAGCGGGTAATCAATCAATATTGTCGAGTAGCTGACTAGATGACTGTTTTTCAAAGAGAATAAATATAGTGGTATGTAATTCCTCATCCCTCAAAGTGATAGTGCCAGTCAGGCTCGGTGGCATAGCCTGTAATCCCAGGACTTTCAGAGGCTGAGGCAAGTAGACTGTCTGAGCCCATGGGTTTGAGACTGGCCCAGGCAACTTGGCAAGACCGTGTCTCTACAATAAACAAAAAATTCGCCAGGTGTGGTAGTGCGTGTCTGTAGTTCCAGCTACTTGAAAGGTTGAGATGGAAGGATTGACAGAGCCCAGCAGTTCAACACTGGGGTGGCCATGAGTTTGCCACTGCATTCCAGTCTGGGTGATAGAGTGAGACTCCAACTCAAAAAAAAAAAGTGATAGTGCCAGATCATAAGCCCATATTTTAACATAGAATATAGAAACTGAACAGAAAATGATGAGATCCAAATTTTCCATTTACCTAGCCCAAAGATTCTTATGTCATTTAACATGTGATGAAATTGGCAATCTTGAGAATGGTACTTGTACCTAAAACAAAGCTTCTGAATATTAGAACATAAGTTACATAACCCACAGCTAAATAACACATAACAAAAGAACATATTTCACATAAAACATATTCCTCATGTACACATTTAAGCACAGTTTAAAGATACACTCACTTTAAAGACTTTTCTTTCTAAACATGCATAAGAACTCATTTCAAACTAGTCATTTTTCTTGGCAACAGAAGATACCAGTCTTCAAAAATACTATTGTTGGAGCTCCAACCCACAGATTCATTTTCATTTCACCAGTTTTACAGTAGCCTTCCTCTCAAGGGACATCTTCTTCAACAGATAATTCTGACTCCAACTGAAAAAGAAACATAATTGGTATGCATTCACTATACACAAACTTAAATAGTTCCAAAACCCTTGCTCCATTTCCCTTTATATGAATGAGCTCACCTCACGTTGTTTTCTTCCTAAGAATTTACTTTCCAAATTGTATTTTTCATTTTAATTCCCCAATGGAGTCACAGCTAAATTTTAACAATGGGAACAATTTGTGTTTAGTACACAGTTTATTCTGTTTTCAGGGCATCCCCATCCCTAGTATTGTTCCACATAGGCTGTTTTGGTGTCTTGAGCTTGGAGCTCAACTAGGCTCTCCTTGAGAATCTTACTTATCTTTTTTTTTGAGTTGGAGTCTCACTCCATTGCCCAGACTGGAATCCTGGAGTGCAGTGGCTCTGGCAATCCTCAGCCTTCCAAGTAGCCAGAACTTGAGAGAGATTCCAGCACCTGAAGAACACTCCTGCAGCTGAGGAAGAGCCCTAGTCCTGAAGAACTACCCCTGCACATGAAAAATAATCCCACATGTGAGGGAACATCCCTGAATCTGAGGGAGAACACTCACCTTATAAAGAGTCCCTGTACCTGAGGGAGAGCCTCTGAACCTGAGTAAGAACCAAGCAACTGATGTAGAGCCCTTTCATCTAAGGATAGTTTCTGCACATGAGGGAGAGTCACTGCCCATAAGAGAGAGAGCCAGCCCCTGAGGAGAAGGTCTTGTACCTGAGGAAGAGATCTGCATTGAGAATGAGCTCTGCACCTAACCAAAGGCTCCTGCACCTGATGAAGATCTCTAGTACATCAGGAAGAACTCTTAAACATGAATAAGAGCACTAAAAATGAGAAAGACCTCCTGCACCTGAAAAAGAGTTCCTGCACCTTAGACTGGTCTCCTGCACCTTAAGGAAAGGACCATCATCAGGAATAAGCCATGAAGCTGATTAGAAAGTCCAGCACATCAAGAAGGGTCCCTGCACCTAAAAGCCCTATACCTGTAGATGAACTCCTGGAGAACCCCTGCCCCTGAGGTAGATCACAGCATCTACTGAAGAACAGCTGCACCTGAGGAAGAGTCCTGAACCTGAATAAAGGGACTGAACCTGAGGGAGAGCCCTGCAGCAGTACAATAGCCTCCACACCTGAGAGAGACTCCAGCACCTGATGAAGACCCCCTGCAACTGGAGAAGGTCCCTACACCTGAAGAAGAGCCCCTGCACATGAAGGAGAGTCACACCACAAGAGGGAGCCACCATGAATCTGAGGGAGAATACTAACTTATAAAGAGTCCCTGCACCTGAGGCAGATCCTTGCACCCAAGGTAAAGCCCTGGAACCTGAGGAAGAGCCCATCATCTGATGAAGAGCCCCTGTACCTGATAGACAGTTCCTGTACCTGAAGGAGAACCACTGTCCATAAGGGAGAGACTCAGCTTCTGAGAAGAAGTTCCTGAACCTGAGGAAGACCCCTGCACCTGATGAAAAACTCTTGCACATGTGAAAGAGCTCATGTACCACATTAAGAGCACTAAACTTGAGAAAGAGCTCCTGCACCTGAAAGAGAGTTCCCACAATGGAGGCAGGGCTCCTGCACCCTGAGTAGAGGCCCCTCATGTGGAACATGACCTGCATCTAGGTGAAAAGCCCAGCATGCACTGAAGAGCTCCTGCACATGAGGAATATCTTCAGCACAAGAGCAAGAGTGCTGACTTGGGGAGAGCTCCTGCACCTCAGGGAGATCCCCCTTACCTAAGGTACAGCCCTTGCACCTGAGAGATACCTTGGCAACTGATAATAAGCTCCTACAGCTGGAGGAGAACCTGAACTTCTGGAAGAACCCCTGCACCTGAGGAAGTGCCCTGCATCTGAGTAAAAGGGCTGAACCTGAGACAGTCCTACACCAGAGAGATACACCAGCACCTGAAGAGTCCCTGCTGTGCACCTGAGGAAGAGCACCTGACCTCATGAAGAGCCCAGCAGCTGATGAAGAAATCTGCACCTGAGGGAGAAATACTGCATCTGAGGGGAAACTCCCATACCTGATAAAAAGCCTCTGCATTGAAAAAAAGAGCCTTTCAACTGAGGAAAAGTCCTTGCCCCTGAGGAGATTCCCTGCAACTGAGGGACAGCCCCTACACCTTACGAAGAGCCTCTGCGGTTAATAAACAACCCTATACCTATGGGAGATCCCTATACCTTAGGAAGAACTCCTGCTCGTGAGGGAGAGCTTCTGCATCTGGTGAAGAGCTCATGTGCCTAAGGGAGAGCCCTGGAACCTGAAGGAAATTTCCTGCAACTGAGAAGCTCCATCACCAGAAGAGCCACTGCAACCAGAGAAAGAGCCTCGGCACCTGAAAAATTCATGCATCTGAGTAAGAGTCCTGGACCTGAGGAAGAGTCCTGGACCTGAGGAAGAGACTTGCACCTCAGGATGAGCCCAGTACCCGATTAAGAGTCCCTGTCTCTAATGGCGAGCCCTGCAAATGAGGGAGAGCCCTGCACCTGAGAGAGTCCCTGCACCCAAAGAAGAGTCCAGTTTCCGATAAAGAGCTCCTGCATCTGTAGGAGAGCTCACGTACCTGAGAGAAAGGACATCCCCTGAAGAAGAGGCACTATAGAATATGGAGAGCTCTACAAATGAGAGACCCTTGCCCCTACGAGAGCTCCCACATTTGTCAAAGAGTCCAGTCCCTGAAAAAGAGCAGCAGTACCATAGGGAGAGCCTAATACCTGAGGGAGAGGTCTACAGCTAAGAAAGAGCACCCCACACAAAAAGCCCCACATCTGATGAAAAACATCTATACGTAAGAACAATCTCCTGTACCTGAATAAAAGCACTGACCCTAAGGGGAATGCTGGAAACTCAGGGAGATGCCTCTCACCGGTGAAAGGGACTAGCTCTAAGGAAGATCCCAGCACCCAATACAAAGCTCTTTCAAAGAGCTCTGCATGGTTTAAAGAGCCCCTGTACCTGGAAGACCCCTACCCCTGGGGAAGAGAAGCTAAACACAGTGGAGGGGGGCTGTCAACCTATGGGACAACCTGCATCAGAAGAAGTGCTCAAGACACCTAAGAGACAGCTCATCCACATGATGAAGAACTCCTTGACCTGAGGGAGAACCCCTTCACCTGAGAGAGAATCCTGCACATGAGAATAAGCTGTACACCCAGGAGAGAACTCTGCACCTGAGAAACAGCCTTGCAACTGAGAAATAGCCCATAATCTAATGATGAGCCTTGCATCTGGGGGAGAGTTCTACACCTGAAAAAGTGCTTTGGCACATGAGAAAAGGTTCCTGCACATGAGGAAGAGCACTAACTATGAGAAAGAGTTCCTGCACCTGAGAAACAATCTAGCACTGATGTAGAACCCCTGCACTGGGAAAGCCCCTTAAACTGCGAAATACCATGTACCTGAAGAAATGTTGCTGCACATGAGGGAGAATCTATCTACCTGAGAGAGTCTCCCTGCATCACAGGGAGAACCCTGTACTATATAAATAGTCCATGCACCTGAAGGAGAGACCTACTCCTGAGAGAGAACACCTGCACCTGAGGGAGAAACCTTCCCCTGATGAAGAGCCCCACAACTGAAGAAGTTATGCACCTGAGAAAGAGTCTAGATCCTGATGAAGAGCCCAAGAACCTGAGGAAGAGTCCTGCAGATGAGTAAGAGCTGAGAATCTGAGGGAGAGCGCTGCATGTGAGGAAGAAATCAGCATGCGATGAAGAACCCTACACCTGAGAGAAAGCCAAGAACTGATGAGGAGCCCATAGTACCAGAAGGAGAGCCTGTGCACCTGAGAAATTCCTGCACCTGAAGGAGAGCCCCTGCACATGAGGGAGAGACCTAGCTCCAGAGGAGAAGATACAGCTCCTGATGTCCCGAGGGAGAGCTCAGTCACTGAGGAAGACCCCCAGTAGCTTAGGAAATGCCCCTGCAAACAGGGAGAACACTGTACTTGAGAGACCAGCACCTGATGAAGATCCCTTGGCCCTATAAAACATCCCTGAACATGAGGAGGAGACCTGCACCTCACAGAGAGTACCTGCACCAGAGAGAGATCCTAATCCCTGATGAAGAGCCCCTGCACCCTAGTGAAAGTCCAGAACCTGAAAAAGAGTCCTGCAACTTAAGGACCTTAAGCGCATCTGAGGGAGAGCCGCTTCGAATGAGGGAAATCTCTTGCAACTGAGCTATAGTGCTGAGCTTAAAGTAAAATTCCTGCACCCCAGGGAGATTCCATTTACCTGAGGGAGAGCCCATGCGCCTAAGGAACAGCCTAGACCCTGATGAAGTGTCCCTGCACATTACAGAATGTTCAGCACCTGACAAGAGCCCCTGCACCTGAAAAGAAGCATGCATCCAAGAAAGAGCCATGTACCTAAGACACAGCCCTGTAACTGAGGAGGAATCCAGAACTTGATGAAGAGTGCCGCACCTGAAAAGTGCTCCTGCACATGAGAGAGAGTCCCACCACCTGAAGGAGAGCTCCTGAACCTGTGTAAGAGCCCAGCAACTGAAGAAGAGCCCCTGTACCTGAGGGATGGCTCCTGCACATGAGGGAGAGACCTGCACCTGATGAAAGAGTCCCTGCACTAAAGAATAAGCACTGCATGTTAGGGAGAGTCCCTGCGACTGAGAAAGAGTCACTACACCTAAGACAGACCTCTTGCTTTGCATCTGGTGAAGAGCTCCTGTGTCTAAGGAAATGCTTTTGCACATGAAAGAGTTTTCCTGCACCTAAGAAGTTCCCACATCTGAGGAAGAACCACTAAACCAGAAGAAGAGATTGCACGTGAAAGATCCCTGCACCAGAGTAAAACATCTGGACCTGAGGGAGAGTCTTGTACCTTAGAAAAATATCCTACAACTGAGGATGGATCCAGCACCTAAGGAAGAGACAAGTCCATGAAAATAGCCCCTGTACTTGAAGGAAGTTGGGTATCTGAGGAAGAACCCCTAAATTAGAGGAAGAGCCCAGTAGCTGATGAAGAATCCCTGCAAATGAGGGTGAGCTGT